TGTGTGTGTGTGTGTGTGTGTGTGTGTGTGTGTGTGTGTGTGTGTGTGTGTGTGTGTGTGTGTGTGTGTGTGTGTGTGTGTGTTCAGTTGCTCCTGTGTTAGGGTGTGGGAGTGCATTGGATGCCTGAGCAGGGTGTGAATGTTTAGCTTTACTTTGTTTGTGCACTGAAAAGTGAGAATAATGATATAGGTGTGTTTATTAACCTCGATCTGACATTAGTGGGGTTTGGGTTTTTTTGGGGGTGGGGGGGGTCTCCCCATCTTCTAACCAAGAATATTCCGTGGTAAAAAGTCCCCCCAACCCACACATGCGCACTGTTACTGTGGTATTTCAGAAATGTGTACTATTTAGAATAGACTGAAAATATTTAAGCCTTTATGGGGTGGAGATGAATGCTTATCTGCAGAACAAAACCAAAGGCTAAAACTGTTGAACAACATTCTGTGTTACTGTGTTACGCATTTTCCTCCAAGAGAGGTCCAGAATTTAGAATAACCATCAAAGCTATGAGCAGACAGCTGTGCTGTGTGTAAGGTGAATGAAGAGGCTGGCACACCCTTGCAGTGTCTCTGCCTTTGTTGTTTCTTCTCTGTTCAGCTGTTTGGAATTTACAGGTATACAGATACATAGTTGCTACATTAATGTGGCTCAAAATGAGCTGCAAGATGTGTGTGAACTGCAGGTTTGACATCCGGAGAAACGCCTGACCTTTAATCCCGAGGAATCTTAATGATTGCTTTCCACGAGGTCTTGCATTTGTGGTGCAGACATTTGTCTCCCTGCTCAGGGGGCATTTGTCACTAAAAAACATGAGTGTTTTAAGGGGAGGGGTGCACACCAGCATTTTTCTTGTGTTTTTTGTTTGTTTTGTTTTTTTCCCATCTTATACAGGTTTAAGTATATGTTTTCAAAAAACATACAAAATCAATAAAAACTTGAATGTAAAAAATAAACACGAGTGTTGTCATGCTCTTCAGGGACGCTGGGATAAAGCAGACTTTTTTTTATTCTTCCTGTTATGATTGCCACAAATAAAAATCAGCATTTCATGATGAATTAGAGCAGGGGTGGGGAACTCAAGGGCCGGTGTCCTGCAGGTTTCAGATATCACCCTGGGTAAACACACCTGTATCAAATGATTAGTTCATTGCCAGACAACTTCAAGGCAGGTTGAAGAGGTAATTTAGCCATTTAAATCAGCTGCGTTGGATCAAGGACACGTCTAAAACCTGCAGGACGCCGGCCCTTGAGGCCTGGAGTTCCCCACCCCTGATATAGAGGAAAATGACCCCTGTCTATGCGTCATTTTCAGCAGCTCACTTGAGGTTTAAGATGAAAGTATTGCTACAGTTTGTTATCTGGGTGCAACCACAATATACAATATATGTGAGCAAGTGAAAAAGTATGTTACTCCAGACACGTAGACCCACCCAGAGAGAAACGTTGTGTGACTGGACCAATGAGCACAGCGTGCTCTCGCTGTTGCAATGAAAGCTGCTTAGCTACATTTTTTCTCGTGATTTCCAATTGTTGCTATGCAGCAGAGAGACGCCCTGATCTGGAATAACTTCCACGTCTTTAGATGCTGCACACTAAACGTTCCAGTGTATGGGGCAACCTGTAATCAGTAGATTTATGGCATGTACCACTATATGAAAGTGTTATGTAAATTACTTTCTGACCCTTTGGATGTTCCACTGTTGACTGTACACAGTGTCCCTCAGTGTTTGTGGCACAGGTCTGCTCCAAGCTTTGACTCAGGCTTAATAGTGAGGTGTCAGGGTGACATAGCCAAATGAGAACGACTTAATTTCCTTGTTATAAATTCAGGGAAAAAAGGCTCAAGGAAGAAAAAGGAAAAATCAGAAAGGGGAAAAAAAATTGATCTCACTGTGTAAACTATCGTCTCCTGAATATTCTCATTAATTTGGAGCTCTCAGATTGGGAATGCTGTGTTTTTTTTAGTTATGGTAGCAGAGAAATTTCTTGGATATACTAATGCATCAAGTTGCTATTGTCTGGCAGTAGATAGAGTTTTCCAGCATGCAAGACAGAAACCTATAAACGAAATTGTCCCAGCAGATGTCACCTTTAAATAAGTCAGTGCGATTTCTATGAGGTATTTAGTCTCTGTTTATGTTTCCTTCATGGTAGTGTGATTATTCTCCAGCACATTTCTTTCCGGGATAATAAATATATCCTTTATCTCTGATCCCAGGGACTTAACAGGATACAGAGGTAGAGAAATATGGGATAACATAAAGACCATTTGTTCTGCGTCCACTTATCAACCACACATGGAATCACTTCTTTCTTTGATTATTTTACTGCTGCTAATTATTTCTACACATGTCTTCCATATAAATTTTTAATGTTCTAATACTCAAGTAAAATGTAACTATAATAAAGGAAGGTGTGGTTGAAAGCAATTAGCTGTCACACATATATTTAGAATAATGGTTGCTCATATATAACATGAAGCAGGTTATTAGCAATGAGGTCAGCATGTAAACCAAATGCTCAGTTTCAGACAGATATCAGGCCGAGAGGATCATCTCGGGCACACAGCTCTGATGTGAACTCGTCTTTAGGAGTTAAAACAGGTTGTTTTAGAGGTCCAGTTTCAGTCCAGGGATAAGACAAATAATAACATAATAAAATAACAGTCCAAAAATAAAAACATTGAGCTGGAAATGAGGATAACCTTTTAATAATTATCGCACATTTTCTTTTTCACACAGCTTGTCCTCATACTGGCTTCCTCCCCTCACCCCAACCAGTCACAGGACATGGCCGCCTCCCTGAGCCTGATTCTGCCAGAGGTTTAAACGTTTTTCCTTGCCACTGTCGCCAAAGCACTTGCTCGAAGAGGGGTCATATGACTGTTGGGGTTTTCTCTGTATTATTATAGGGTTTTTACCTTACAATAAAAGCACCTTGAGCCACTTGTCATTATGACAAAACCAAATTCAATTAATGACAGTCCAAAAAAGAGATTT